CAAAGCGAGTTCCAGGAAAGGCGCAAAGCTACACAGAGAAACCCTGTCTCAAAAAAACAAAAACAAAAAAAAAAAAAAGAAAGAAAGAAAGAAAGAAAAAGAAATAGGGCTTCACTATAAGAGATAAGAGCTACAACCATGTTGGTTATTAATAAATGGAATTTCTAAAATCTCATTACCAGTGAGATCAAGGGAAAAGAAGCTCCATGTATCAAGTTATAAATCATTGTGTTTGAACAGGCTGATTAGCCAGGTAGGGTGTGGACCTGTCCTGACACCAATTAGCAAATCCTGTAGGTTGAGTCAAGGAGAAGTGTACCCCAAAGGGAACACCAAAGAAGCATTTTCCAACTCCGGTTATATAAGAATGGGCAGGAATGATGCAGACCAGGAATAAGTAAATGCAGAAGCTTTAGTTTCCAGCTTGAGAAACCAAAGCATGCTTCCCAAAGAGTAGCATGTGGAGCACTGTGGACATAGGCAATGTTTCTCCGTCCTCATAAACACTAGGCAGTCAGTCACAAATAAAAGGGGTTTGGGCATCTCAGTGCCAAGCGCAGTGCTAGATGGGAGGGTGTTTGCTTACCTGGACTCTTCCTGACTGTTCACATGAGACTGCTCAACTTTCATCCCGAATTGCTATAGTGACACTTGGAATTCCTTAATCATGCTGAGGAAATACCAACAACTATTTGAGTTTTAAAAAGTAAATGTTTGATCAATTCAACAGCGAATTGTGCTTTGATTGTCATATGGGTCCTGTTGTCGTCGAAGACTCTGGCTGGCTGGAAATGTAGTCAACACTGTAGGATGTGCTGTCTAAGAAGACATGCTTGTTCCTTGAATGTCTTCGCAAGGCTCTACACGAACGCCTGCGTCCACACTGGCCTACTGCAATTGCAAGTCTGACTCGATCAGTGGCAACATCCTAATGTGTGTACTGGAAGGAGACCGGGAATTCACAGATGAGTGATCAGAGGCCCTGAAAGCCAGCAATGAAACACAAGGTAGCTCACACTAAGGATGTGCAAGCAAGGTGAATAAACAAGCTGGAGCGTTAAGTTAGTGTGTGACTTCTGCAGGGTGAGATGTGAGATCACCATTCTCTCACATAGTTTGGTTTGGTTTGTTTCTGAGGCAAGTTCTCTCCAGGTAGCCCAAGCTGGCTTTGAACTTGTGTAGCACAGAGTTCATGGTCTTCCTGGCCCAGCTGCTCCAGTGCTAGAATTACAGGTATGCACTATGATCCTGTAGCTTTTGAGGCCAAAAGTAGTTTTTTAATTAAAACGGGTTTTTGTTAACTCAGGAACAGATACTCAGTTAAAAATGAAAGCAGTATCTATACCGACATGTCTTCTAAACCTCATACCCAGGGAGCAACAACACAGTCAATGTGGATAGCCAGTGAGAAGACACATCCCATGCCATGTGGTCCATCCCCATCACCTCACTATTGAGCGGACTGGACCATCCCAAGACAGACAGCTTTCTCTGCAGAAAGCCAAGGCTTCTTAGTGTGTGTCCTTTCTATTAGAAATCAGCAGGCTACCCACTCAGGCTAACCCTACCAAAAGGATATTCCTGCAAGACTTTTGGTATAAGCATCATTAATAGGACGAGCGCTTGAGACGTGCATGCTTTAGCAAAGTAGCGGAGCCACGCCCAGTTCTTTTGGAACTGTGTGAGAGAATGATCACACAGCTCTGCGCTTTTCGGCTTTCTTATATTTCCTTGGCTCCTGTTATCCTTCATCCTGCCATTGGTCTTAAAATAACTTGAGGAACGGGGACTCTTAATGAGAAAATAACCTTCCAAGAGCCGTTCCTCCATCCTTGCTGTTTTGACTGATGACAAAACTGCTAATAAGATTAGTGCCTTCCCTTTCTGCTCATTTTCCAGCAGGATTAGTTGCTACTTTTATACCCTCGGCTGCTAATTTCGCTAGCAAATCTCTTGAGAATTCTAGCCTAATTTTCTGCTCCTAGGAGCAGAACTGATGTTGCAATAGGTCAGCTGGCAGTATTTAATTCCTCCAGGGAATCCCAAAGAGTAAAACTTGTAGGTATAATTCAGACACAAGCATCAAATAAACATCAAGGACCAATTTTTCAAAGAGGGAAATGGATTCCTTTGACTGGAGAATCCTTATTTTCCATAACTTAAGACATGGAGGTATTGTAAGAGGTATGCACCATATTACTAATGTTAGTATCTATGTTGTATCACAATGCTCTCTGTATTTTTTAAACATATTAGTAATTCTTTGAGGATTTTATACGACGTATTTTGGTCATATTTACTTCCCTACTCTTCTACCTAGCTCTTTCCAGACCTACCTCCATCTCCCTATTCTCCCCAACTTCATGTCCTCTTTTTTTTTTAAATACCCCATGTAGTCAAATTTGTGCTTCTCATATATTCCTGTGTGTGAGGCCATCCACTGGAATGTTTGTTTGTTTGTTTGTTTGTTTGTTTGTTTGTTTGTTTGGTATTGCAGTGATAAAACACTGGTCAAAAGCAACTTCGGCAGGAAAAAGTTTATTTCATCTTATACTTTATAGTTTATTGTCAAGAACAGATAAAGCAAAAACTCAAGGTAGTTGCTAAAAAAGGAAACCATGGAGTAATGTTGCTTGTTGGCTTATTTTCCTATACAACCCTAGACCAGTAGCCCAGGGTGATAATGCCCATAGTGGTCTGGGACCGTCCCACATCAATAAATCAAGATGTCCCATAGACATGCCCACAGGCCACTATGATGGAGGCTATTCCTCAACCGAGGTTCTCTCTTCCCAGGTGACTTTAGATCATGTGAAACTGGCACGAACTAACCAGCACAGAAAGGTTATGGGGACATGCAGACCAACAACTCCAAAGGGGTAACCTAGTCCTAGAATTCAGCTTTTTCATTGATGATCTATGATATTTATGAGGGCATTATATCTCCCCATTATCAGGTAATACCATTTAAACCTTAAAAATATATGTATGTGTGTATATTTTCGGAATCTTCTGCAATGGTAAGTTCTTTAATGTTAGTTCTCCTTCTCTATCCTACCTCCATCCCCCAGCCCACTTAATTCTGCTTGCTCTGTTATTCCTTGTCTCCCCTTTATACAATCTACGTTCTGCCTTCCCTCCCTTGAAAGCCCCCTCATGAAACCACAGTAGTTACCTGGCCTCAATGGATGTTCCCATTTAAACACACATATTTGAATATCCAAAGCTTGACATATGAGAGAGAACAGTTAATATTCGTCTTTATTTCCATCACTACCCATTTAACCTGTAAATTTCATGATTTAATTTTTTAACAGAAAAATAACCCATTGCGTATATGTACCACATTTTCATTATCTGTTCACCATTTGATGGATATCTAGGATGTTCACATGTCCTGTCTACTGTGAGTAGAGCAGCAATGAACAAAGATGAACAGGTATCTCTATAGTAGGATATAGAGGCCTTCGGGTATGTGCCAGAACAGTAGATCTATTTGTAGTTGTTTGAGGACCCTCCACACTGATTTCCATAGGTACTGCACCAGTTTGCACTCCTATGAAGAGTGAATAAATGCTCCCCTTCTCCCACATCCATGTTAACATTTGTTATCTCCTCCCACCCCACCCCCAACCACTGTGCCATTCTGTTTGAGGTAACATGAAGTCTCAAGGTACCTTTCTTTAATTTGCATTCCCATGATTGTTAAGCATGTTGAATATTTTTCAAAACATTTTTCAGCCATTTGTATTTCTTCTTTTAAGAACTCTGTTTTGCTCTACACCCCATTTTGAAACTGAGTTGTTTTTTTCTTGATGTTTATTTATTTATTTATTTTAGTTCTTTGTATATTCTAGATACCAATCCTCTGTCTGATGTAGAGCTAGTAAAGATTGTTTCCAATTCTGTAGCTGCATTTTCATTTGAATGATGGCATCCTTTGACATACAGAAGCTTTTCAGTTTGATGAGGTCCCATTTTTTAATCACTGGTCTTAAAGCCTGCACTACTGGGGTGCTTTTCTGTATGGCTAAGTTGAAGATTATTCCCTACTTTCTTCTCTAACAGATTCAGGATATTATGTTTTCTGTTGAGTTTCCTGATCTGTTTGGAATTTTGTTCAGGATAAAATATGCAGATATGGTTTCACTCTTCTTCATATAGCCATCCAGTTTGAATAGAATTGAATTTGCTGAAAATTCTGTCTTTTCTCCAATGTATCTTTTTCGGTCATTTGTCAAAAATTAGGTGACTGTAGGAATGTGGGCTCACATGTGTGTCCTTAGTTCTATTCCATTTATCAATGTATCTGTTCTTATGCCAATGCCATGCTGTTTTTATTACTATAGCTCTGTAGTATAACTTGAAATCAGGGAGAGTGATATCTACAAAAGATTTGGCTAATCTGTGTCTTTTTTATTTCTATGTGAAATTTATGATTATTTTTCAGTTCCTGTGAAGAATTGCATTGGAATTTTGATGGGGGTCACACTGAATCTGTAAATTTCTTTTGGAAAGATGGCTATTTTATAATATTAATCTTACCAATCCATGAGCATGGGTTTTCTTATCTTCTGGTGTCTTCTTCAATTTTTTTCTACAAAGTCCTTACATTTTCTTTGCTTTTACTTCCATGCTTTACTTTTACTATGTTTATTCCGTGATATTTTCAAGGCTGTTGCTAATGAGATTATCCCCCTGTTTTCTTTCATATTTCAATTAATGTCATTGAAAAATCAAACAATTTTAAGATTATTTCATAATACTATATATTCAAATATAACCTTGCCTTGTTCTTGAAGCAGTGAAAATAAGTTTTAAAGATAACAAGAATAATTTAAAGTTCATAATTGTACATTTAAATCATCTTTTGTTCATCTGAAGCTGAAAATAGTAATTTCAGGATTTTAAAACAACTTTTAACTTACCTTTTGATTTCTTACACTTTGGAAACACTTTCCAGAAGGAAATGAGGAAAGACAGAGATGGGGTATCTCAAATTTCCCCAGACCAGCGCAGACAATGGAATGAGAGGTGCCTTTATGCGTGTCTCTATTGCCAGGTGTCATGGAAATGGAGGGCAGGCAGAGCCCAGGCAGACTGAATCAGCAGTGGGGATGCTCTGTCCGTTCATTTCATCACGACACATAGAGGTATTGTGGGAAAGAACAGCACTAAGGGTTCTTTTAGCGAAGGGAGAGGGAGTTGAGAACTTACCAGAAATACCAGTCAAAATGGAGGACACTGCCCCAGATGAGAGGTAGGTGGATGGAAGTTCCATGCCAAACTTAGAAAGACATCTTTATCTTTCTGGGCCTGAGGGCCAATAGCAAGCACAATATGGTTTGGCTCCAAGGTGTGAAAGGCACTCCGTAGTCTCTGGCAATACCCTAGGTTCCACTACTGATGTCGAAATGCTTTTCAAATCAGTGAAATGGTGAGTTCATTGTTTTCTAAAGAAAACACAACAGAGAAACACAACATTCCACTGATAACAAATGGAACCACAGTCAACACTGAATGAGGTAAGGTAATCAGCAGCATCCTTCACAGGATACAAGCTCAACAGGGTGACGGCACAACTCATAAATCAGCACCACTAGATGAAGAGTAAAAGGACCCAGGGAATGAACATCCTGACCCTGGCTTGGCCCCAAGCCCAAGACATAGGCCAAAGGAAGAACAACTTGCCCCTGACTAAACCCTGAGCTCTGAGACTTGAAAATCCCCACCCCATGACTTTGTGTTAACGGCCGAACAATGTTTTCTATGGTACTATACTTCTCCACTAAGCTCACTGTGTGCTCCAAAAACCCTATAAAAGCCTCTTCTCCACCCGGCCCTCTGCTGTCCCTTGTCCCATTTAGATATAGCTGCCCTTCTGTTCTCCTATAATCTTGTGAGAGGTTTGTTTCATGATGTGATTTTGTGATATTCCTTGGCTCCTGACTGTCAAGATGCCCTGTGCCAGATAAACCTTTTCACTAGATGCCACAGAATGCTTTGTAATCAGCTGGCACCAGAAGCACCATACATAAGCTAGCCTATGGGTGGACTCATTGGGAAGTATTGTGATTCTAGAGAGCAGTAATCAGTGTTGGCTAGTCACAAAGTTGTGCATAAATTTGTACTTATTTATAATCAATTGCAGATTGCATGGACAGATCATGGATGCCTGCACACTTATCAGCATTAGTACTAGCATATTCCATTGTACCTGACAGGAAGGAAGAAGAGAGGGAGGTGACGCACAGCCCACAAGGCCTTGATTGAGTGTTGGTGTTCGTCATGGAGCAATGTGCAGTCAGCAGACTCCGAGCAGAATGTTTGTTCTGATGCTATTTCACCTCGACTCATCTTTCAGTCACAGCTTCATGACACAGCATTTCAGGATCAACCATAGCCTGACGTGTCTGCTGATAATCAGAACATACCAGACATTAGTAATGGTTCCTCTTTTTTGTTTCTCAGTGAGCTAGAGAAGATACAAGGCTGTCCTTTGCCTACAGCATTACTCCCCACTAAAATCCCACATGCCTTGTTAGGCGATGAGAAAAAGAAGTTGTGCAAACTATGGGACATTTTAAACTAAGTGAAGGTAAGAAAAGAAAGTAGGACAGAGGGAGGAAGAGGGGAAAAATCAGTTCTCTGGTGAGGCAGTTTAGTATGCTCCAGCTAGCCTTTGGGATATCCAGATGACTACTTTTGGCTGTGTCTGTGAGGATGCCCCTGGAAGAGGCTGTCGTTTAAACTGGGTGAAACATCCTGCCCTCCCCCACCATGAGTAGGCATCATCCTAGCCACGGACAGCCTAACTAAGGAAAAGAGAAATGGCTGCCTGCCTGCCTGCCTGCCAGAGCCAGGACTTGAATCTTGTTCTTGGTACTCCTGAATCTGAGACTTTCAGTTTCAATATAGTCTCTAGACCATCCATTCTCTAGTTTTCAGGCCTCTACATGCACAACCACCTTCCCTGGTCTCCAACTTACAGAACACAGACCATGGAACTTTTTACCCAGCCTAACTATGGGCACCAATTGTGTATCATAATAGATGTTATTCTGAGTAAGATACACACACACACACACACACACACACACACACACACACACACACACACACACACACACACTCATCAGCCTCCATGGTCTGCTACCACTATCCTGGCTCCTGTGTCAGAGGAGCTGAGGGTACCAAATGCTACCTATGCTGACTACAACAAACAAAGAAACTCAACATTCTTCTGAGACCTAATTTGGAACCTCCAAGCCTGGTTCTAAAGTGTTTCTGGAGATTTTTGAGGCCTGCTCAATATCCTTTAATGAAGTAATTTGCTGCCTGAATCTGCCAGTTTGTTTCTGCTGCTTGTGGTCACAACTTTGAGGCAAATGAGTTCAGAAAACACAGCTCCATGGATTTTTAAACGTCGGTAGGAGATGAGTTCTTACTGATAACAGAGGATGGTGGGATGAAAAGAAGAGAGATAACTGATTACTTGAATATTACTAGAAACCGACTCAACGGCTGAGGTTTTGTATGTTGTTATGATGACTCCAACCTTACAGGTAGAAAAACAAGACCCAAAGGTTTTATCTGAATCTAAACGCAGGAGTCAGGACTCAAACTCAATTTTGAGCCAGTTACCCACACCACAGAAAGAAGGATAAATAACATGAGCAAATTGTCTTAGTCAATGTTCTGTTGCTGTAAAGAGACACCATGACCGCAGCTACTCTTATACAGGAAAGCATTTAATTGGAGCTGGCTTACGGTTTCAGAGGTTTAGCCCATTATTATCATGGCAGGAGGCATGGCGGCCTGCAGGCAGACATGGTGCTGGAGAAGGAACTGTGAGTCTGAATCAGCAGGCAGCAGGAAGAGAGAGACACTGAGCCAATTCAAGCATTTGGAACCCCAAAGCCCACCCCCAGTGACAAATGTCTTCCAATAAGGCCACACCTACTCCAAAAAAAAAAATCCCTGTCAAGTATCAACACTCCCTGATGAGCAAGTATTCAAATAGATGAGCCTATGGGGCGGGGGGAGGCTTTCCTAGTCCAATCATCACAAAAGCCAAATGAGATTCTAATTAAATAGTCAACTCTCAGGACATAGCCTTGGTTGTAGCAAGTCCTTGAGGCAAACTGTGACAACGTACAAGCCATGGCAGAAAAAAAGAGGCACACAAAATGGCCTAGCAATTGTACCCGGAAGATGGCCTGTGCTTCTCCCAGGGTTGCCTTACACCCTGAGGGCAACTTCCTCTTCATTATTTATGATGATACCTAATAGATAACATATTTATGATAATTATACAGATTGTATGTTTATGGAGCACAATGGGCTGTGACTTTCATAACATATTGCATATCTCAATATTATTAAAAGAGTAGCTTTTAATTGTTCTCACCTCAGAAAAAGGGAAAGTAACTAGAGAACAGTTAGCACTCCAGAGATGAGAACATAGGAGGTAATCAAGCCCTGCACACAGTCAACTGCCTGAGAATAAGCTAGTCTGATGGCATGGGTCCGTGAATTATTTGGAGAGACTTTCTCGTCAAAAGAGATTGGTTATAAACATGTACTTCACAGATTAAAAGAGTTCTCACTTTGTACCTAAAAACTGATTTTCCTCTGAACCATTGTTCTAAGTGGGATATCTACCTAAGTACTGTGCACTGTTTTATAATTTGTGTGAAAAATGCACATTGAATACTTTCAATCATTTGAACTCTTGTGTTCAAACCTAAACAAAATATTCTATGTTCAAACTTGCTTGAAAAAAAAAATAACCCTGATTGACCTCATATTCTAATTAAAACTGCACATGAAGTAGACAGGTAGCCCTTTGTGTCCCATTTGTCTATGGGGCTTAAACCAACTATATTTAGGAATATGTTTTAATTTTTGTTTACTGAACATATGCAGACTGCTTTTATTGTCAATGTCCTTTAAACAATATGCTATTTACATAGCACTTGCTTAGAATTAGGCATTACAAGTAATTTGGAGATGGTTTAAAGAATACAGGAAGATGTACATAGATTATATACAAATTATCCACCATGCTGTGTAATGTAATGATCTTTTTCTGTCCCACTAGTCAGCTCCCACATAAAGACACGAAGACTTACTATTAATTACGAAAACTTTGCCTTCATTTAGGCTTGTTTGTAACTAGCTTTTATAACTTAAATTAACCCATTTATATTAATCTGCATTCCATCACATGGTGGTGTTACCTCTCTTCCATCTTGCACCCCCTGTTTCCTCTCTGCATTTCCTGGCATCTTTCTTTTTCCCAGAGTGTCTCAGTCCCCAGAAGTCCCACGTATACCTCCTGCTTAGCTATTGGCCACTCAGCTTCTCATTACAACAATCACAGCAAATACATCTTCACACGGTATGTGAATATCCCACAACAGGGTGAGACACTTGAGTAGCTGTAGATATTTTTATTAGAGTAAATGTATTATTTAACAGATACGTCAGAACAAAAAAAATTGTACATATTAACATAATGCCATAAGATTTTGGCATGTTTATACATTGTTTAATATTGAAAGCAGATTAAACATTTCTGTCTCCCCAAGGATTTACCTTGTCTTTATGAGGATCTTCTCTAAAGGTAAAGCTCACTGCTATTGTCTTAGTCATTGTGCCACGAAGATGACACAATAGGACTTCTTGTCCTGACCTAACTGTAACCTAGAAGCCATTGATCGATCTTTCTCTCCCTCCTGCTCTCCTTGGTCTCTGGCAGCCACCATTCTCCTCTCCACTCCTTGGTTTTCAAACTTTACTACAGACACGAACTCACATTGGCTGCACAAATGAATGGGTTGTGCTCGATTTTCAGATATGCATATCTCCTACTTTAACGGTACCCACTCTTTCTACACTCTGTCCTTACTTCTTCTCTTCCATCCTCACCTCCAGCGCTCTCTCTTCTCCTTTCAACTCCTTCGTTCTCCCACCATGTTCAACTTCTATGAGATTGAATTTTGTAGGTTCCACACTTGAGTGAGAAAAAAGCTTTAACTACCTGGGATTTTTACTTTGTCATAATGATCTCCAGTTCCAAACAGGTTACAAAGGACAGGGTTTCATTGTTCTGATAGTTTGGGTAGAATCTCATTGTATGTTACCAAATTCTCTTTCTCTAGTCATCAGTTTAAAGATGGGGTTTGTGTCCATTTCTTAGCTATTGTGGATAGTGCAGCAGTCAATGTGGAAATGCAGACATCCTTCATGCAATGGCTTCCTTTTCCTCAGGAATGGGTCACTGGCTCATACAGTAGATCTACTTTTAGTTTTTGTGATAACTTTGTATTGTGTTCTATAGTGTATGAACTAACACCAGCAGTGTGTGAGCGTTCCTGTCGCGACATTCTCTCTAGCACATGTTATCGTTCATCTTTTTTATTGCAGCCCTACTCACTGAAGTGAGGCACTACCTCATGGTATGATTTGTGTTTACCTAATAATTAATAGCGTTATGCAGCTTTTCTTGTATCTGTTGGTTGTGAGTAAATATTCTTTCGAGAAGTGTCTGCTCAGATCCGTTATCTCCTCTGAACCAGCTTGGGTTGGCTTGGCATTAAGCTTTGGAGTTTTCTTGTGTATTCTGAGAATCCTGTTTTCAGATACATACACTGTTAATGACTCCTCCCATCCTTCAGGATTCATTATTGTTTATCCTGCAGAAGGATTTTAACTAGATAGAATCCCACTTATCTAGTTTTGCTTTCTTGTTTCCTGTTTGCTTTCAGAATCTTGTCCAAAACCTCCTTGTTCATTCCAGTGTCCTAAAATGTTTGCCCATGCTTCCTTCTAATAGTTGCGTGAAATGTGTTTAAGTCTATAATCCATTTTGAGCAGATTTTATAACTGATGAGATACAAAACTTTTATTTCATTTTTCTACTCATGTATATCTGGTTTTTCAAGCATCATTTATGGAAAAGATTCTCCTTTCTCCAGTAAATATTTTTAGCAGCTTCATCAAAAATCAGTTGTCCTCAGATGCATGGAGCTATTGATTGGATCTCTATTCTATTCTCTTAGTATACATATCTGTATTTATACCAATATTGTGATGTTTTGTTGCTATAGGTTTGTAAAGTGGTTTTGGTTTGAAATTGGGTAGTGTTTTGTTTTGGTTTTGATTTTAACATCCAGAATTTTTCTTAGCCACAGAGGTCTTAAAATCAGATGTCCATCAAGAAAGCCTTGATCTTTTTTTTTTTTTGTGTGTGTGTGTGTGTGTGTGTTTGTGTGTGTGTGTGTGTGTGTGTGTGTGTGTGTGTGTGTGTGGTTTTTTTTGAGACGGGATTTCTTTGTGTGTCTTTGGAGCCTATCTTGGAACTCACTCTGTAGACCAGGCTGGCC